AGAACACAACTTGAAGCCCAGTACAAAGCTAGATTGGTTGTTAAGGGATTCGATCAAAGGAAAGGTATTGACTTTGACGAAATATTTTCTCCTGTTGTGAAAATGTCCTCGATTCGCGCAGTTCTAGGTTTGGCTGCTAGTCTTAATTTAGAGATTGAGCAGATGGATGTGAAGACGACTTTCCTTCACGGTGACCTAGAAGAAGATATTTATATGGAACAACCTGAGGGCTTCAAAGTAGATGGTAAAAAAAAATTGTATGCAAACTCAAAAAGAGTCTCTATGGCCTCAAACAAGCTCCCAGACAGTGGTACAAAAAGTTTGAATCTGTTATGGGGGAGCAAGGCTATAAGAAGACTTCTTCAGATCATTGCGTATTTGTACAAAAATTTTCTGACAAAGATTTTATCATCCTTTTGTTGTATGTGGATGATATGTTGATTGTGGGCAAAAATACTTCCAAGATTGACGAGCTAAAGAAAGAGTTGTGTAAGTCTTTTTCTATGAAAGACTTGGGTCATGCCAAGCAAATTTTGGGCATGAGAATTACTCGTCTTAGAGATAAAAGAAAGATTTATTTGTCCTAGAAGAAGTACATTGAACGCGTATTGGAGCGCTTCAATATGAAGAATTCTAAGCCTGTTAGTATACCTCTTGCTGGTCATATAAAGTTGAGCAAGAAGATGTGTCCTACAGCTAGGGAGGAAAAAGAGAACATGGCCAAAGTTCCATATTCTTCCGTCGTCGGAAGTCTAATGTATGCAATGGTGTGCACTAGACCTGATATTGCTCACGCAGTTGGTGTTGTCAGTAGATTTCTCGAAAATACGGGAAAAGAGCATTGGAAAGCTGTGAAATGGATACTCAGGTATCTTAGAGGAAGCTCAGATGAATGCTTGTGTTTTGGAAACATCAAATCCAATCTTGAAAGGCTATACAGATTCTGATATGGCAGGTGACCTTGATAACAGAAAATCCACTACTGGATATTTGTTTACTTTTTCAAGGGGGAGCTATATCATGGCAGTCAAAGTTGCAGAAGTGTGTTGCACTATCTACAACTGAAGCTGAGTATATTGCGGCTACTGAAGCCAGCAAGGAGATGATATGGCTAAAGCGATTTCTTAAAGAGCTTGGTTTGAATCAGATGGAGTATAATGTCTATTGTGGCAGTCAGAGTGCAATAGACTTGAGCAAGAACTCCATGTACCATGCAAGAACAAAACACATTGATGTCAGATATCATTGGATTCGTGAGAAAGTGGAGAATGAATCATTTCACGTCAAAAAGATTCACACAAGTGAAAATCATGCAGATATGGTGACCAAGATGATACCAAAAGACAAGTTCGAGTTATGCAAAGAACTTGTGGGTATGAGCTCTCTCTAAAGAAGTTGAAGATACCTTCTTCCAGTAAATGGGACTGGAAGGGGAGATTTGTTGAATCCATCCCATTGTTTTAGTCAACTTTAGTTATTCAATTGGTACAAGCAATTGTTAAAAAGGAATAGTAATTGGAGTTGAAAAGAAAAGATTTGGTAGTTGGCAAATTGGTAAGATTTGCAACCATTTTTGACTTTGCTATGTTTACATATGTCATTAGTGACATAGGTATGGTTTTATCCTTCTATAAATAGAGCATTCTTGCTCATTTGTAGAATACACCAAGTTAGAGAGAGAAACCATTTTGAGAGCAAAGTGAGGTATTCCATAGACTATATAACAAAATAGTCTGTGAAGAAAAATAGAGTATGAGCGATATTTTGGTAAGACGGAAACCAAAAGAGTGTTGTTCCTTTTGAGTGTGTAGTAGTCACATTGAGTGTTGTCTTCGTGACTACACAGTGTAAAATTCCTTACTATAGTAATATCAGTTGCTCCTCTTGGCCCGTGGTTTTTTCCCTTATTCAGAAGGGTTTCCATGTAAAATTTTTGGTGTCGTTATTTTCCCATTTTATTTCCATTACATTTACCATATATACTTTTGTGCTTGTCCGTGTTTTCCCAACAAAAGGTTGATTTTGATACAATTAAAGGCACCAAACAAACATTGAATTGAAGAGTTGTAGTTCGACTATAACACCAATAAAGTAAGGTGAATGCTTTGAATAAGGAGTCTCCTTGAAATAGAACTCTAAGTCAAGAGAATTCGAGTTGATGAGGAGTTTGAAGTGAAGAATAACTTTTTAAAAAGTTGTGATTAAATAGAAGCAAAGTCATTCACAATATTTATGCACTCAGTAAACAAAAAGGCAATTGACAGATTGACTTTGTAATGCTACATGAATGTGAAGAAACACATTGAAGAACCAAGTTCTATAACACATTTTATGTATAGAAAATTTTTCTTTGAGTTGTTGCATTAATGTATCCTTAGTTTCAGTGAGTGAGTTATATATTGAATTAGAATTATGGTCTACAAGTTGAGGCAATTCGAAGACTTGGGTACACATAGCTTGTAATTTTTTGTTGAAAGGATCATTGTTAAGTAAAATTGGACATAAATCTTATAGAGATATAAATCGTGAGTTTTACACCTTTTGTAAGCCCAATATTTTACGTAAAAATAGTGGTGTTTAACTTCTCTTATTGTTATGTTGAAACATGTTAGATAGCCTTTTTCCCTAAGGCGGAGATTCTAATTGATTAACAATGATCTAGGTCATATAGAATAACAATATACATATATATGTTGTCTTTCCTTTCTCTGGCTTCATTCCATGTTTGGTTTGAGTAAGAATTTTCCTTAAATTTGGAGGAGTTGTAACTTTTCTTTTCGTTTGCTTCTTTCCATGTCTGTGTAAGAATCTTCCTTGAATCTGGACAACCTTCCTTGTGTGATTGATGTCTTTTACTAACTGTCAATCATTAAAACTAATGCAATATGCTTCCTCCCTTTTTTAACAAAAAATAATATCTAATTTGACTTAGAAAGGAGTTTAAAAAAATAAAGAAGATTTTTAAATTATGGTTTTAAATTAAAATTATGTCAAATGTATCAAAATGTTCATTAATTTTGTGACCTTAAAGATGTTATGTGGAAAATTAAAGTTAAAGTGTTACAAAAAAATATTCTTTTGAAACAAACTAAAAAAAAAGTGTTAATAATAATTAAAGATTTGCGACATTAATTAAATACATCTTTTAGTAAAGAAAAGAGGTTTCGTTCGCAAATAGGATTTTGAGTACATGTACATGTAACATAGAATTTAAACCACTTTTAAAAGTTATCCGTGTAATTGTAACGCGTTAACTTCATATATAAAAGTAACGGACGCGTCACAAAATTGTCCAACACATTAGTGCAATGAAATGAAATGGGAAAAAACGAACGCACTAATACCAGAATCCATAAAAAAAAAAAAAGAGAGAGAGAGAGATTGAAAGAGGAATAACAATAGCAGCATAAAGGTGGAGAATGATGAAAAAGTTGAAAGCATTAGGAGACAATTGAAAAGCTTTAGGACCACCATTATTACTCTTGCTAACTTTTATTAAAAGGAGTAAGAGAGAAGTATTTAAGATATTTTTAAACACTGCGTAAATTATTAATAGATTTTAAAATGTCTTTTTTACTTAATTAATTGATTTTAAATGCATTTTTTATAGGTAATTTTAATATTTTTATCAATTGTTTATTAAAAGTTTTATGATCTAATCAGAGTTTGAGACTATTTGTTATATATGTCATGTGGTAGATTATGAGTGTGTTTAAGTTTAATTAGTCAAGTAAACGACTATTTTTTAAAAATATCAATAGTTTAAAAACAAAACTAATAGTATATACCAAATTCAAAAATGTTTTTAAATATTTTCTCTACTAATTACCCTTTTAACATAGCCGACGAAAAAGTGAAGGATTCTCGCGGGTATAGTCTAATCAATCAAAAAGGGAAAATTCAACATCTTTTATTCGTTTTTCCAAGTAGCAATAACTCTTGTCATCAAATATTAATTTGTTATTGTTTTTTTTTTTTCTTTTTCTTTTTTTTTTGGGGGGGGGGGACAAGTTGTCCTTTACTTTTGGGATAGCTAGAAGGAAAAAATTTATTCAAAATCAATCAATTCTATTTCACGTTATTTTGGCTTAAACAATGTGTTTAGGAGCTTCTATCTCTTTTAACTTACAATCTTTGAAATAAAACAGGAAAAAAATGAACCAATATACTTTTAATTTTGGGGGATAAAGTTTTATATATATATATATATATATATATACATATATATATATATCGCTAGTTTAAGGATATTTCTTTTATCAAAAAATATAACAAAGAATGAAATTGACTTATTTTGAATAATTTAAAAATATATCACTCTTTTTCTATGGATAAAACGTTGTCAAGTAAACTGTAAGTTGTAAGTTAACGGTAACAAGAAGAAATGAGTTAGGCAAATACTTTTTTGATGAAGATTATTAAATTAAATATACTTTTTACAGAATTCGTAAAACTTAAAAGATAGATATCATGGTTTCTTATTACGACTTCCTCTTCCATGTTCACTGATCCACTCACCTTAATAATTCAAAAAATATTTAGTGCTAGCAATTAAGTTGCTTGGGTTGTGCTTTGCAAAGAAGATTAAAATATTTTGTAAAATGAGAAAGAATAGAAGTTTCCCACATGGCAGGTTAGTGCTTGCTCAGTCAACTATGTTGGCACCAAAGATGATTTGCTAATTTTATAGCACATTCATTCACGTGCCGAAGTGGATGTTACAATGTCAACTCCTCCGACTTTTCAATTATATTTTTATATTTCGTATTAGATTAAAAATACACAGTTTTAAAAGGACTCAACATATATTTATTAATACTTTTGAAGAGTCCGAGCAACATAACTGATAACACAGAGGACAAGTTGAAGGAAAGAAAAAGGAGGGCAGCATAAGCATATGTTTCAAGTAATCCCCCATCAAACACACAATTATCATTTCCAGGGCCAACATAGTTGTCACATGAAAAATAAGGGCATATAAGAAAGGCACCAAATTGACCTAAAAACATCCACAAAGTGTGTTCTGCAATTGAAGTGATCAAGTCATATATTTATAAACATGTTATCTTTAGAAGCCATTGTACAATGAGGATAACAGAAGAGGTAGGGATAATAATAAAAGAATCACTTCGAGCAAATTCTAGTATATATATAGAGTGAGACCGATTTAGACAGTGATAACTGTAGCTTCCCCTGTCCTCATCGAGAAGATCAACCATCATATGGTTTGGTTGTTTTGTTAGATTTCCTCTTTAACACAACAATCCAGGTAACCACTTCCAATAATAGGGCGATTACTCCTAACACAACTAGTATGCCAATATATGCAGACCTCCACTTTGTCGCTGGATCTAATATGTCGAGACCTTTGAATACATTAACCAAGCTGAGGATAAGCATTGTATAGCCAACTCCGTGATGGTAGATATTCCAGTAAAATCTGTACTTATGATCCTTCTTCGGCCTCAACAACAAGGCAAAAACCTACCGACAAACCAAAGATTAGCATATACACAGAGAAACCAACTTATGTTCAAAGAATTTACCTAAGGTGCATATAACAAGTTTCTGTAGCATAAATGATATAATGAATAGCTAGACGTAATAACGATTCAGGCCTCAGGAACACAGAAGCTTTACCTGCAATGTTGCAAGACAGAAAAGTGCAATCCCAATATTGCGATGGACGTCATAGGTGATACCCTTTGATTCACTTCCAAGCTTAAGACCAGTTGCCCATCCAGCAACTCCAATAACATAAGCAGAACATTGGCAGGAAATATGAAGATAAAACCATGCCGGATCAGCAGATTTGAATGTCCTCATGTACCTCGCAATGATGATCCCGACAGGAAACAGAAATCCCCAACTAATAGCATTAAGGATTCCATGGATCTGCAGTAAAAATTACATATTTTTTTAAGCACTTCCAGGTAATGGATCCACCATCAACTAGTGATATACTACCAATTCAATAATTAAAAAAAAAATTCAAGAAATATCAATTGAATATCCAGTAAAAGCGACTAGTATTGTTTCAAGATTCCCCCACCTAATTTTTTTGCTGAACCCTTAAATCTTATTCTTCTTCTTGAACATGAAAAAGGCAAATATGAACAAAAGCTAGCGACAAAAGGAAAAAATAAATCAATAGATGATATATGGATAAAAGCCCAGCATAAACTAAACTATTCACATAAAAAAAAAATCTGCGTTTACTAAAAAAATTGGCCATGTTAGGTCCATCCTTAAACAATATTTAACGGTGAGATTGGCTAATATTAGAGTCAAATAAGGATCTGAAAAACTCACATTTTTTCTAGTGACCCTAGAATCGCCAGAAGCGCTGCTTTTGCTTTCTCCACTCAACAAATCAAACGTTCCTTTCGAGTTCAGATTAGCTGGCTGAAAACCATGTTTTGCAGGAAAACCATCGGTAACAGAGGGTCCCACCTGCCATACATGATTCAACGTAGTTTTCCCCTTTTCCGGTAGCACAAGCGTTGCAAACAACCGCATCATTCCGCCGGAGAATTCCGCTGCAGTCTCTTTAACATCAAACCACAATTTAGACGACTCCATAATTGAAGAATAACTCGAAATATCATACGTTTTCACCACCATTTCGCCTTTGGAATTTTTGAACGCAAACAATGTTTGCGCCCCAACCATACCGGGAGCGTTGGGATTAATAGCCCACGCAATCCATCCGTCAGGTTTATCCGGAGGTGCAACAAATGCGACAGAAAGAGTGGAATTAGCAGCATCGTATGTCCAATGAAGGAATGATTTGAGTACTGGAAGATCGCTACAACGAGCATAAACCTTGTTGTTGGTGAATTGCTGTGATGAACATATTTGGGATAGTGATGGGGAGAATAAAGAAGCAAAGACAAGAATAACGGCAACGAAAACGGCCGGCGAAGACATCGTGGCCGGAGATTAAGATTTGTCCGTCGGACTTTCGTAACGACAAGAATCCGGCGATTGTGGAAAATATATTTATTCACAGGAAGGCGTGTATGAGAACCTCCAAAATTTGGAAGGTTATAAATATTTTTCCAACAATATGCTTTTAATTTCTTTTTTACAAATTCAATTCACATGGCAAACTCATGTTGATATACATCCATGCTTATTAGGCGTGTAATCATCAAATTATTATCCGAAAAAACTAAAAGTATTTTAAACTATTTGAAATAATTTATATTTACCTTTAAACTTTAGTTCGGTTTAAAACTATCATTCTAGTCATAATATTGGGTCAAAAGTACTCTTCTTATTAATGAAAGTTGTTAAATGCCACGTGGATGTCATATAGATGCCACATTGGATAACAATAGGATTCCACTGCCACGTAGACAAAACAGAAAGGATCAAAAATACCCTTAAACTATTCAAAATAGCTCATATTTACCCTTAAATTATATGTCAGTTCAAAACTACCATTCTCGTCAAACTATTGGGTTAAAAGTATCCTTCTTATCAACAAAAGTTATTGAATGTCTTGTGAATGTCACATTGCATGCCAATAAGGTTCCACTGCCACATAGACTAAATCTCTAAATCCCAATTACTTCCCCACTCATTTCATTATTTCAGAAATGATATAGTCACATATTCTCCCTCATTTCGCCGCTAGGGTTTCATACTTTTATTCGTGATTGGGTTTCAAAGTGGATATTCATGCTTATAGGTTAGTTAATATTTTTTTCTCATTTTATTATGTTTACAATTTCAAAGCATATAGTTAAGATTTCACAATTTCCCCCCTAATTTCGCAGCTAAGGGTTCGTAACTTTCTTCAGGGCTGAGTTTCAAAATGAATATTCATGGTTGTAGGTTATTAAATATTTTTTCTTATTTTATTACGTTTACGATTTTAAAGTATGATAGTTAGAATTTCACAATTTTTCCGTCATTTCGCAGCCAAGGTTTCATAAATTTCTTCGGAGCTGAGTTTCAAAGTGGATTTTTGTGGTTGTAAACACAATAAAATAAGAAAAAGTTTACTAACCTATAGCCACGAATATCAACTTTGAAATCCAGCGACGAAGAAAACCGGTGAAACCTTAGCCGCGAAATGAGGGTGAATGGGTGAAATCGTTACTGGAAAATAATGAAATGAGGGGGAAATGAGTAATTAAGTTTTAGGGATTTAGTCAATGTGGCACATGTGGAATTTAACAACTTCTGCCAATAAGGTCACTTTGACCTAATAGTTTGACGGCAAGGGTAGTTTTGAGTCGAAATATAGTTTAAGGGTAAATATGAGCTATTTCGCTTAGTTTAATGGTACTTTTGACCTTTTTCCTTATAGTTTATGTGACAGTGGAAATCTATTGCGTGTCATGTGGCATTCATGTGGCATCCACATGGCATTTAACAATTTTCATTTATTAGAAGGGCACTTTTGACCCTATAGTTTGACGGGAAGGATAATTTTGAGCCAAAATATAGTTTAAGGGTATATATAAGCTATTTCAGATGGTTTAAGGGTATTTTTGACCCTTTTCCAAATTATTATTATTATTATTATTATTATTATTATTATTATTATATTTGATTGTTATATTTGAAAACTTTTGAAGCTCGAGTTATATTTTTTTTTGATAAATATTTAGTATTAAATGCATTTTTCACAATAATATGAAATGTAATTTAAATGAGTTTATTTTATAAAAACAATAATTTTTGTTATTGTACAATTTTTTTCAACTAAAGTAAAAAAATCTGGAAAAAAAATTCCCATTGTCAAAAGGGGTCCTACGTTTATTATTTTATTCTCAATTTTAGCATAAAATTAATTATATATAAATTGTTTATTTTATTTCCAATTTTAGAGTTGAATTACATGTAAATCTATCTAATTATTTGATTTCCAATTTTGGCATAGAATTACTTATTAAACATTGTGATTATTTGATTTCTAATTTTGGCATATAAATAGTAATATATATAAATATGTATGATAATCTGATTTTCAATTTTAGCAAACAAATTTCTAGGGATGTTCATGGTTATGGTTAAAAAATCAAACCGTATTGCAATTTAAATCAAACTAATAAAAAAAATTGGTTGGATTTGGTTAGGTTTGGTTTTAAATTTTGAAAATCGATATTATTTGGTTTGATTTTGGTCATATTAAAAAATTCACACAACTAACCAAATTGAATCGATAAATTAGAGATATAAATTTTATAATTATGATATAAATTTTATAATTATTTATATGTTATTAATTAATAAAACATAATTTGTTAAATTTTAATTAATTTAAGTCTTTTAACTTTACAATTTTCTCAAGCACAACACTTTAACACAACTATAACAATCTCAAGTCCAAATCAATCAAAATCAATTTTAGTCTTTACCTACCCTTCTTCACATAAAGTAATCACACTTTCTTTTAATTGAAACACTATTTTCGTGTAATAATAACTTTAGTATTGCTTAATTGTTTAATTGAACCGACAATAATTTTTTTGTGAATTGTTCATATACTAGGTGTCAGAGGCGGACCCATAGGTAAGCCAGGGGTTCACTCGAACCCCCTCGGTAAAAAGTTACACCGTATATGTAAGTTAAAATTTCTGTATTTATGTGAATATATGTATTTTGTACCCCTTCATTGACAAGGAAAATAAGATAGCCTAGTAGTGGTAAGTTCCTTTGAAACTATGTGTGACTTCCATGGTTTAAATCCCCCTGGCTAGAATTTTACTTTTTTTAGTTTTTTTTTTTTTAAGTTCCAATTCCGTTTTTACAGTTTTTCTTTTAAAAATTAAAACATGCTAAAAGTGTGGTTTTAAATCCAAAAGAAATCAAGGGTCACATTTCTTGGGGAAAAAATTGTTGGCTTATTTACACGTTTATATTTTTATTTTTTGAATCCCTGAATGAAAATCCTGGGTCTGCCACTGCTAGGTGTGTGTTTATCGACGCAAGTCCTAAAAAAATTACTACTGCTTTCAAAACTAATAAGCCAGAAAAAACTGAACCAAATGGACGGTAATTCTTTAGTTTGGTTTGATTTGGTTTTAGAAATTTAAAAAATCAACTAGATTGGTTTGGTTTTGATTTAAATCAATAATCGATCCAAATCGAAACACGAACACCCCTAGAAATTACCAACAACAAAACAAAAAGGAATAGTGTTTGTACCATCCAAAAGCTCGGGTTGAATCAAGGATAACACTCAGTACCTTAGTCAAGACACGATACTTGAAACTACAAGTGATTCCATGCTAATTTTTGGTATATCATATTTATGCATATCATATGAAAACTAAGCAGAAGTTGTAGACTAAATCATAATTGAGATAGATTTCAAGAATAAGTTTATTACAATTGAATACAAATATCTAAAAACCTTGAAACTCAATAGAACAATTTATCAGGACAAGACCTCCAACTAGTCATAAAACAAGTTTAAAATAGGGACAAAAACAACTAAGTATATCCCCATATGAGGAGGATTCACTAATTATTGTATTATGAATGGTCACTCTCGGTTTACGAGCCTGAAAATCAGAGGTGTATCCAGAGTTTTGGATGGATGAGTGCACTAATACGAAAGATGCATCTAAGACATAAATTTAATTGATTTGACCTTAACGTTCTTAACATTAAACCGTAAATTTTAATAATTATAGATTCATCACATATAATACTACTAGTTTTAAATTTTAATGTATGCATTTGATTTAATTACGTAAAAATTTTGTGGTGCTATTTATTTTTTTGGAATTTCCAATAGAACACACATGAATTCTGAAAGACTAAAGCAAAAAAAAAAAATTGATTGAACGCCAAAAATTGTAATCGATAATCACTTGAAATAGTGTTACAAAAACAAATAAGATAGATATAAGATTTAAATTTTTATATTTGCTTAGAAAGGTGCATTCAATCATCCATGGGTTCACACCTCTTTATGTAAATACTTTTAAAAAATATATAACACTACTATATATAATCTAGAGAGGAGAGCATGGATTCACGTGAACCCATGAAAGCCCTCTAGATACGCCTCTGTGGGAATGATCACTTGTATCTACATCACATGAAAAATGTAGCGCAAAAGAAGTATGTGATCAGTATGAGAAAGGTACTGAGTAAGTAGGAGTGAAACTAAATAGTTAAATTTATATCTATATCATAAATTGTGAGAAAGACTATAATGAATATTTCAATTGTACATAATATCAACTGAGGGTGAATGTAACAAAAGATCAAATAGATATTTCTTAAAGAAAATGTATATCTCAAACTATACTTTCAAATTGTATCTAGAAAAAGCATATGTGAAAATCATGTTATCTTTCATCATATCTATGAGGGAAGACGCGACCATATCGGTTCAAATTATAAGAATATAATGTCTAAGTGAGAAGTTTTTTATACCCGACATACTCCATGTGAGCTCGTGATGCATCAACTTATAATCTCAGTCGGGTAGGATTTTTCTATAACTTGTCAAGGTATAGAACCTATCTACCTAATGTGGTTCCACTAATCTGAGCCTCTCGCGTCAAATGGTCAATCAACAAAGTGATGAAACATAATCTTACAATGACACATAATTTTAGAATCTGGTCTATCAAGAACCCTTATTCACCCGATATTAAATATTACTCTCAAAATATATTATTTATATAGGTCACAACATATCTAGAAGCTTATAATAAGTATTACTAAAAAAAATATTAGTGAGACTATGCTTAAATCTATGAGATGAAGCTCAAATCTTTCTTTCTAAAATTAAATACAAAAATTTTCTAAAATATATCTTTCAAATCATGAAGAAAGATATTCTAAAAAATGCATAATTGGTAGATATCCAAAATAATTTTTATAATTACATAAAGCTCTACAATCAATATAAGCTTTAATAATCATAGATAAAATAATGTTAAGAACTAATAAGGATGACAATGAAAAACCTTGCTAAGCATAAAAACGTAATACAATAGTTTTAAAAATCATGAATAAGTAATTGAAGAAACCATACAATTGAATCATAAAAATTGTGAATTTGAAAGAAAAGTGAATTTTGTAAAACTAACTAC